GTCCAAGTTTGGTAGAAATTCAGGATAATTTAAGAAAGTTATTAAAATTTCAAAAACTTTAACCACAGAGTGAATATTTGTGGACGCTGCCGACGGAATGTAGGATCGCTATGTCTCGTTTTTGCGACAAAAGTCGTAGGCTCGACAAAAATCAACAGAATTACAGAAAAACCGCAGATAACTTTTAATTAAATAAATATTCTAAAAAGAACAGTTATGGTGACTAGCTTTCAGTACACAACTATTCTCCTTTAATCCTATAACACAAAACATGATAGACCAGAAATTTCAAGATATTTTCTTAGTTTTCATCAGATCAGATAATTTTAATCCCCTTTATGATTCTGAGTCCGGATTATTTTCTGATTTGGCCGCTCCGGACTCAGAATCCCAAAAGGAATTAAGATAATTTATGCTTGAACTGCAATGGATATATATTTAACTTTGAAATGATTAGATAACTGTTCCTATTAAATATGGAGGTAAATAAAATTAAATATTGAAATATGGTATGCTGTTAACATCATATGTGCCAACTGATGACAAATTCTCAACTAACAAAAACATGCAATTTGTTTTGTGCACAAAAAGCATATATTTTATGAATAAGTATTGAAAAGTACAAGTCCACTTAAGAATTCTACTATATGGACCTAGCAATCTTTTTACATGAGAGACGAACATTATTTCCCATTTAAATCCTCTTGATTACGTGATTTATCGGTTTTCCCTCAATCTGATTATAAATCTTCTTAAAATCATACTTCACTGATAGATGACGAATCCTCAAACATTCACATACTACTGCCCATGAATCCTAATACTAATAATATCCTTTCAATTTCATGTAACTATTTCCAATTTCAATTTAAATCCAAAAAATCTTTCTAAAGCTGACAGATAATAATTCATTATTAAAGTGTCACCAAAGTCTAATCAACTTTTTTGTTAAAACATGTCATACCACACCTTCTTATTTATCTTTAAACAGAAAACAATGACAATTTCATTTTCAGTATTTTAAGAGAACTTGAAATTAAGTTTAAATTTTTTTCAGATTCTATTAATTTTGGGGTTTACAAAGTATTGCCTTTTTAGAAACGAAAAATATCTTTCCAATGGAATATCTAAAATTTCACAGAATTTGAGTTAATATTACAAAACATTTGGAAACATTTAGTAATAATCATTCAATATTTATTAGATATAACAATTGTTTTTTTTTCAATTTAAACAAATAAAAGGTATGCTGCCTTTCTATTGTTGCTAAGTATGCCTATTACAATAGAACACAAGAGTCATGGTTCAAACAACTGCAAAACGGTTGTCACATGATACTGGAAATTACAAAAAAATGCTTCATAAGTTAATTTGTTTCCTCTAATTGCACTGACTATAAGCTTGATTTTACTTCTTTTAGTTGTTCTCACTAGACCGAGTACCAAAAACTTTATCACCTTCACTATTTTATTATTCTATTTGGACAATACTGTACATATAAATAAGCAGGATTTTTTTTTTATGAACCAGCTTCTTATGTTTTGAATTTATCTGAAACCAGATTACCTGATAATAAGGTGCAAAGGATATGCAATTTTATTCGCAAAATATTACACAAATCATCTTGTACGAAAAGAATACTTTTACAGTTATTGGGACATTTAAATTTTGCTTCCAGGGTTATTTTACCTGGAAGGTCTTTTGTTTCTTATTTGATTAATTTGTCAACTACAGTTAAAGATTTGTCTGATTTCGTGCATTTAAGCACAGAATGTAGAACAGACTTGGATTTTTGGTTACGTTTTTTTGTAAAACTGGAATGGCATTACTATGTTTCATGAAAATGAATTTACAAGTAGCTTTGATATGGAATTATTTACAGACGCTGCGTCAACAATAGGATTTGGGGGCTATTTTCAGGGGAAATTCTTTTATTCAACCTGGCCTTTGGATTTACCATCATTGACAAACAACCTTTCAATAGCTTTTTTAGAATTATATCCTATTGTTGTAGCAGCACTGCTTTGGGGGCCAGAGTGGTCTTGTAAAAGAATATTATTCTGGTGTGATAATGAGGCCACTGTAGCTGTTGTGAAAAAGGGGAGATCAAAAACTCTAGAAATTATGAAATTGATGAGACAGCTGACTTGGTGTGCAGCTAAATATAATTTTTACTTTAGTGCAAAACATGTTCCAGGTTATAAAAACCAAATTTCGGATGCTTTGTCTCGTTTACAGATCACCCGTTTTCACAAGCTGGCCCCAAAAGCAGAACGGAGTCCATGCATAGTTCCAAGTGCATCAGAAGTAATGTGGCACTGAGTGAAACAGTTAGTAAATTATGGAATTATTCTATTTCTGAAGGGACAAAAGTGTCATATGAGACCGGTTATAATCATTTTTTAAATTTTTGCTATTAAATATAAGTGTCACTGACAGCAAGCCTCATTCAGTGTCAGAAGATCTATTGATATATTTTGCTACACATTGCTTTCAACATTTCAAACTACAGTACTCTACAATTAAACTATACATATGTGGAATTAGACATAGATGCTTGAAGGACAATATATGTTCTCCTTTCAATAATTCTAGTAACAATTTAGAGAGACTGTCCTTGTTTTTTACTTCTATTAAAAGATTACAGAAACCGATCATTAAAGATCGCTTACCCATAACTTTTGATATCCTTCAACTTTTATGTGTTAAGCTTAAAGAAGGATTTTTTTCACCTTTTATTGACCAGATGTTATATACTGCTTTTACAGTAGCTTTTTATGGTTTCTTACGCTGTGGCGAGTTTACAATTCGCAGGTCAAAATCATTTGATTGTAACAACAATTTATGTATATCTGATGTTTTGTTTTATTCTGACTATGTTATTTTACATTTAAAGCAGTCTAAGACTGACCCTTTCAGGATGGGTGTTGATATTCAACTTCACAAGCTAAATCATGATTGTTGTCCATTTAAAACTTTACATGATTATTTGATTGTAAGGAAAACCATGTTTAAATCTCAAAACAATAGTGCTTTATTTATTGACGAATCGGGTAAAGCTCTAGAAAGAGAATTTTTCATCAGCAAGTTAAAGCATCTTTTGGGCATCTGTGGATATAATCCTCAGTCCTTTAACGGACATTCATTTCGAATTGGAGCTGCTACAACAGCTGGAAAATCTAATATTGAGGATCACTTAATTAAAACATTAGGTAGATGGAATTCAAATAGTTATTGTCGCTATATAAGAACTAGTAAAAATGTAATTAAAAAGGCACAACAAAAGTTATCATCATGATTCTTGTATCTATCCATAACGTCATATCCTGTGTAAAATAATTTTTGCTTTTATTCTTATTTTATACCATATAGTGTACATTTGCACATGTACAATACATACCTGTAGATATTAAACATTTGAGTATTTTAAATATCATGTATTTGTTTGTTTTATTTTAAAAACTGATTCATATGATTATAAATACATATTTTATTATTTCTATCTTTCATTATCAGTGAAGTATTGAAGGTGTCCAAGGTGTTAAACTTTAAGTCCATCCCCTTACAACCACTTTCCTATTTAATTCCTTGGGGGTCACTCAGCTGTTTCACATCTGATCTTTGGACCATTACGAAATTCACCACTGGTTAATTTCTCTTCTTATCCCCAAGTAATTAACTACTTTTCATCTCTCCACCGTCAATTCAACCCCTTTTCGTAGCACCCTGCTACGAGATGAAGCATCGCTTCATCCCCTTTTGGAACCCTCTGCGTTCCAGTTGATTGGCGGAGTGTCCATGTCCACGGGGCTTGGCTACCCACTATACCAAGTGTCGTCGACAGGGCCTGGAGCAAAATTTTCCCAGCTGAGATACTGACTCCCAAAGGGCAAACTTATATTATATAATAAAAGTGAAACTTTATCAAGCCTTTGTTATCAACAGCCTTATCAATTTGTCGAAGTACTTGCGTCAGGTTTAGCCATTTGTCTGGTTCTGGTTTTTATATGGTCAGTAATTGTGGTCTTCATCTTAAAGACAAGTTGAGAGACTGTAGCGTTTGGTCCCATGTTGTATATACATGTACATGTTTATGTTGAGTATAATTTGGCACCAGCTGTTCCAGGGTTAAAGAGCAACACTTGAAGAAACTATCATATAAGAGGATCTCCAAATTTAAGTTAGAGGTCTTGAGGTAATCATAAAGCACAGTAGTATCCAGGATCACATACAATGTGTTAGGGGCGTCACTTGGCATTCGTCGTCTCCTATGTGCTTACATGTCATGTAGGTCTCAAGTCATCACTTGGCATCCGTCTATCAATATTACTTAAGCTGTCATTTTCCTCCAGGACGAAAGTATAAAATTCTATTTGGACAATACTGTACATATAAATAAACAGGATTTTTTTTATGAACCAGCTTCTTATGTTTTGAATTTATCTTGTAACGTTTACCTTGATTTTTCAAATTGGCTTCCAAGACATTATAAATATTGAGTCTAAAAATATTCTAATTACAATTCGTATTAATACTTCTTAGGTCTGTTCCAGAAATAAATGTATTGGGGTCAGAAAGCATTTTTTATTTTACTCCATCATGGATAATATTTAAATAGATTATTTAAAACAAACACCACACATCAAACTTTAATATAAGTGCCTTCCCAATATACTATTAATTCTGGAACAGCCCCTTTACTATAATAATTTAAATAAAACATTTAACAACAAAATTAACAAATAAACAATTTCAGTCTGAAGACTTTTTAGCTGTATTACTTTGAGATTTAACTGGTATTCACTGTTATAAAACCTTTGTCATGTTGACTGAAAAACTTGTTTCAACATTCAATGTAAAAAACACAATAATATAAGTAATCTATATTGCACTACTAATAAATGCCATCTTTTATCAAAATTCAATCCAAAATGGCCTCTACGAGTACCCTTGACCACAGATCGGATCTACTGTCCAATAATGCTTCAAAATCACCATTTTCACCGTCGGAATATTTCTTCATCACTGTCATGGTAACGACTGACATGTCGACTTGTTGTCAGTGTTGTTTCTTCTTGGTCTGACCTAAAATAAATGTTGACATGAGTTTGACCAAATAATTCATTATCTAAAGCTAAGCCTACTTCTTCATTATATTTATTATTAAAATGCATTGCATATATGAATAAGAAGATGTGGTATGAGTGCCAATGCAGTCTAATTAACCTTATTCTTTTATACCAAAATAAAAAACCAAATCTTCAACTGAAGGACCAAAACTGTTTCCAATATTACTGCAGGTCAATATTTATGCATATGACCTTAGTCAAACATTTTTTACTTGCATGGAGAATTCTTTTGATGTTTTCTTTTTTTGTAAGTCAACTTTATCTCACAAAATGAAAACTTCTGTAGAATTAAGAATTTCTGTAACCAAACAAAATTAAACAAAGTGCTTTTTATACCATAACAAAATTCAAAATGTCTGTAAAAGTGGTAAGGCAAAATAGCTTAACCATGTCACTAATCATAGACTAATTATTAAACCTACCCATAATGCACATCTTCATCAGAGTCATTCAACATGCTCATACCAGGACTGTCTTTAAAATTGCTCTCTGTAAAAGAAAATTATTATGATCACAAAAAATTTGAAAGTAATATTTTGAACTACTGTTAATTTTTCTTCATGGAAAAAACACAGATCAATGGTCATTAGCAACATTATTTTAACATGGAGAAAGGATTTTTTTTAAATTGCCAGATAAATAACACTTTTAGTTTAGTCTTGCTTATTTCAAGCAACATATTATTTTGGCTATTTAAGGAAAAGATAAACTCCATCCACAACTATCACTGAAATCACTGTTTTATATGATGTTTCTGTGCCCCTGTCATTGATACTGTGTTAAAAAAAAATTCAAAAGAATAGAACCTTACAATTTTTTTTTTTTTGGACTGACATGAAAATTAACCTGAGCAAGTCAGGAGCCTGTAATTCAGTGGTTGTCCTTTAATGTTGTTTATCATATTTGATTTGCGTTCATTGTTTTGCACATACATCTGGATACATCATTTGGTCTCTGGTGGACAGTTGTCTCATTGGTAAGTATACCACTTTTTTATATTTTAATATGGAATAGATGTAAAAAGAAAGAAAAAACTTTTTTTTCAAACTAAGCTGAACAAGCTTACCATATAATTGCATTTTTGCAAGGCGAATACACAAATGCAATTGTGTACATATAGAAATTGAGCAGACCATAAAATGCGACAAATTCTGCTGAATTTTTGTAGTTTGTGGACAATTCTGCTACAAAACTATCTTGTAAAGCTACAGCACCATATCTCATCACTGTTATTGTAATACTGATTGTCAACACTATTAACATCAAACACGTCATGAACTTTAACCTCAAATCTGAAAATAAAACATTATTAGTGAAAACAAGCATAGAAAAAAAGAAAAGAATTCACAGTCACAGATATTAAAGCATTTTGGATAACATTTTAGAAGCATTCACTTATTTTTTTTGTGCCTGTACCAAGGTTTATTTCCCAGAGGATTGAGGTGTAGGTAGTTGGTTGCTGGGCGATCAGGTTGATCAAATATATTCGCCCAGCCAAAATTCTGGGTGACCTTTAAGTGTAGTCCCTGCATGGTCAAGTTAGACTTTTTAGGCAGACATGTACACCTTACAATAATTTTATAGATCAAATACTGTTGACCTAGTATCACTCATGGTATCTAAGAAATTGACCTATGCATGATAACTAAACACTGATCATTGAACTATATGTTTATAATAAACCTACTTACACTGATTTTGTAGACCAAATATGGTTGAACTATCATTTAAAGCAATTCAAAAATGACTATGCATTAAATTTAAATGAACTTATTTAAACAATGACAAAAAAAATAAGCTGATCCCAGTTAAGACAGAAATATACACTGTAGGCTTACAATATAACATTGTAGTTGATTGATTACGCAGAGTAGCTGAGAAATTACAAGCGTGAAAACTATAATCTAATTATTGAACCATGAAATTGAGCTCAATGTGAGGTGACTCCTTTTAGACAATCATATACACATTACAATGAATACATAGACCAAATAAAAAACCCTAGAACCTCCATAAGCCTGACAATCACATGGTTGGTCACATATAGCGGACCTATAAATCATATTAGCAGAGAAACTGACTTAAGCACCAAAACATCCTATAGGTCACTGTTTCATAAAAAATTATTAGGTTGAGGGGAGGTGACCTATCTCATACAGACACGTACATCTTACAATGATGCTACAAACCAAACATATTGACTCCACCTTTTAATCATATTAACTGAGGAACTGACCTAACAATAAAAACTTCAACACTGATCTAACAATAGGTCAAGGTCAAACAACTTATGCCAGAAAGACTGGTTCACTTTACAATGATTATTTTCTATTTCTGATGGTAAATGACAAACTGATGATTTAACATTAACTTTAGGATGTTCGCTACTGTTGTGTTTGACTTTTTGCCAGATATTCGGAATCCTCTTATCCATATACATGTACTGCCATTACAAATTTTGCCCACTTACCTCTACTTTTCTTTTCATAATTTTATTACATATAGTTTCAAAAGCCATTTTTGAAAACTTTATAAAATCCTTGTTATTTTTTCATAGTTTTTGAAAGAAAAAAGGTGTAAAAGTTAAATGTATGAAAGATCTAGAGAGAAACATTTCCTGCCAAATATTCAATTGATTATTTCTCAAAAACAAAATCACGGAACTGTCATTTCTTTCTACTTTTAAAGTCCCGTTTTTTATATACTGTCAATTTATAACAGTCTTTTAAAAAGTCAGTTATTTTGAAACAGAGCAGCCAACATCCTTAAGAAGTCATTTAAGTATGCAATAGTGGTCAATAGCAACTGAAGGATTTGCCAGAAGGAAGCAAAGTAAGAAACCATCTATAAACAAAATATGTCGGCATTGTCTAACTTTTTAATTTTCTGAAATATAAAATGTTTTTATCAGTATATTCCCTTGCAGCCACAGCCTGACTGTCATACCAATCTCTAACATCGCAACAACGGAAGCAGGCAAGATAATAAAACAGTAAAGTCTTTGTGGGAATTGATAATTTAAAGAAGCTGCCATACTATAAACCATATATACATTCTCTTACACTTAATAAAATCATGTAATTTAACTTTTAATATCGTAGAAAAACTTTCACATCACAGTTTCATGAACTCCTGGATATGTACTTGTGCATGCTCTTACCAAAATATGACATAGATCTCAGCTCTGCATAAGCTCTGATTAACAGATACCCTAGGTACAGAAGATACAGTCCTCCAACAATGAAGAAAAATATTTTTAAACCCTGCAAATAAAAGATGATACATTGTAGTACATTGTAGAACTATATACACTAATAGGCTGAAATAGGCAAGTAATTTTATAACTACAAACAATAATACCTCATCTTAATATAGACACAAGTAAGACTGTATAAGTCTTGTACCCACCATATTATGTTAATAAATCACCTGTTTGTAGTACACAATCATTTGTACAAGCACTTATCATAATGTACAAGCATTTCTGATGTAAAGAAACATTACTTTAGTGTGTTATTTGGTTGTTGTCTCATGGACATGTATACCACATCCCCTTATATAAGAAAACATCCTGAGTATCACACAAAACAAGAAAAAGGCAGAGATTTTAGAATTTTATTGATAAAATCTTTTAAAAAGCAATATGTAATGAGGACCAGATTGGATGTAGATCTTAATCATCTGATTTATTCCGAAAAGGTGATAAACATTTGAAAGCTACTATTGAAACATAAGTGGGCAAATACCAATTCTCATCTTGAACTGATAATGTGAATTCGTTGAAATCCTGTATGTTCAAGGTCAAACAATATATATCATAGTGTACAAGCACTTCTGATGTCAAGAATCATCAATTTTTCAAATTTAAGTGTGTTGTTCAGTAACTATCTCATGGACATGTATACCACATCTCCTTGTTTCATCAATTTTCAATAATCTTCTCTGGTGAAATACCAGCTACTGTATGTGATACCTGCTGTTGAACAAATCTATGTTTAATTATTTGTAAAAATTTTGTGTTGTTTGAATTGATTAGCAAAGCATTAAGCAAAAAGAAAGAATAGCATTTTTCTATTGGCTTAATGTTGAATACATGCAGAAATGTGACGTCCTTGCTTTTTGTCATCCTTGATTTTAGAACACTAAATGTCTTCTGAGAGACAAGGCAATATATTTTGTCTTCTCTTTATGCTATAGAATAGCAAAATATAACATGGAAGTTTGGATTGAATAAAAATTGCAATGATTTCTTTGAATGAATCATGTTATGGTAACAATTCCTTTCAGCCATAAAACATCCCTAAAATAACCATGTACTATTGACCCTCTTTCCATTGTAGAATCTAATAATTTAAAAGTTTTAAGTCTATGGTGATAAACCAAATGTTTAGTGACCCTTTATATGTAAATATGCATTTTCTGTAAAGGAATATAAAACAAGAACTGCACAATTTTGACAGCAAGTGGTAATTGAATAGTACTACAGAAGATCAGATTTTGTAACAGTCATGTGATGATGTTCTTCACTTCTTCCTGGTCATTCAGTTTAAATTGTCGTGGGGTTCCTATCACTAAAAATGTTTACTTCCTTTACACACTGATATTACATAGTTGTTGAGTTGATGTGCTTAAATTAAATGCTTATAAGTTTCTTGTTGCATGGAAATTATAAATATACCAAAGGGTCCATTTAAAATTATATGGAGTAGACTATGAAGAAAAACGATGAAAATTCACTAAATTATTGTGTAAGTGTTATACCAAAAATAAAATACTTATATGTCACATGGAAAAGGACTCTGTTTCAACTTATATACAAAGTATATACTTTGCAATAAGAAGACATCTAATAACATAAAAATTAAAAGCGAATAGTACAGCTGGGTGTATATAAATAATTTAGTTACCAAAAGTCAGTAGTATATTGAAACAGCTCAGAATGAAAGGCATATTCAT